TATGATATGATATGATATGATATGATATGATATGATATGATATGATATGATATGATATGATATGATATGATATACAATAATATAATATAAATACTGGAGGATCTCAAGTGATAGCCAAAGAAAGAGTATATTTTCTGAAATCACTTTAGAGTTCCATAAACAGTATTTTAGCATCTATTGTCAATAATAAGAGTTCGCCTGGGGCCTGAGAGGTAGCTCAAGAGTAAAGTACAGGTATTGGTCTTGCAGAGGACCTAAGTTCAATTGCCAGCCCTGACACCAGGCGACTCACAACTGCCTGTAACTCCAGCTCCAGAGGATCCACCACCATCTTCTGGCTTCTACTGACACTTCACTCGTGTGTGTATGCCCTCACAAATACTTATTTTAAAAATAATATAAGTATTAAAACTCAGAAATTGTTTTCTTGATTTGGGGTTAAGATAAGATGTATCTATTGGTCTATGAATGTCTTAATCAATTACGTGACAAGCTTTGGTACAATGAGCACAAAACAAGTGTTTTTGTTTGTGGATACAGCATAATATATGCACATACTGTGTGCTGACTCTATAAGGGTAATTAACATAGCTGTTACCCTGTGAGGGTAATTAACATATCTGTTACCATGCACATTTGTCATTTTCTTTGTAGTAGAAACAGAACCTTCTGTTCCGGGTTTCTTCGAACTAAACGGCGTATCTTTAATACTAGCAAGAACTTTTTAATTGTTCTTCTGGATGCCGGTGTCAATCTATTTAAATATCAGATTCAAAGATCTCTACATGCTGGCTTCAAGAATCCCGGTACAGTTGTGTAGCCTACAGCTCAAGCACACTTCTCGCATCTCTGCTGGGTCACACCCACGGGCGTATGTTCAATCGTGAGTTACCGCTTAGTTAAGTAAAACAGCATAGACTTAAAGTAGTTTTTATTTTAAAAAAAAAGCAGTTAAGGCATTTGACAAACACCTCCCCTTAACTATACGTAAATCCGAAGGCGGGTTTTTTGCTTGCAAACACAGAAGGCAGGGTGGGAGCAGATGCTCCTTGGGTAAACCTGTGGCTTGTGGCTCACTGTCCAGTAACCTCTGTAAATAAACCAAACAGGGACAGGGATATTTTGGCAGACAATTAGCCTCAGTGTCAAGGCCTTCAGGTGACTGTGCCAAAGCATATAGCTACAATTATTCAGCTTTAATTATTCAGTTGAACCATGCCCATTTTCAAGGAGTAGTGCTTTTATAGGCAAAGTGTTTCTCATGTGTGTGTCCTTCTCCACGTAACGACCAGCTCTTTCTCAACACGTGGATTGCCGCTACTTCGCAGGTTTACACAGCTGATGCATTCCCAGGAGTGAGAGCATGACTTTACTATCACACGTAACTATGTTTAAAAAGTGGGTCTCTTTCCAATTGGTCATATCCTGACGTTCCCAACATGGGTCAGTTACTTTGGGGATCAAGCGTCCTGGGATTTGAAAACTGATTTTAAGCAAATAAACAACGAGCATATTTTCAACCAGACTTTACTAACGGTGTCGCCTCTGAGGATGCTGTAGCCTGACCGTGGGGTGGCCCGGCTTTGGGCAGGTATGCTTCATCATCGCACTAGCAGTGAAAAGGGTGCTCCGTGGTGATCCGTGGGATCTGAGCCACAGACATCAGGATTGCCCGGCACGGCGGCTGCTCCTGACAGAGGTGGGTGCTTGGTCTCGGAGACTCCATGCTTAAGACTGCAGGTGATGTTCTCTCAAGTTTTTGTTACAGTATATTCCATTCCCACACTTTTAGGGACTGTGACACGAGTCACAACATTTTTGAAAAACAGAGAAGCCAGTGTATCTACACCTCAGCCCATAACCTCGTAAGTCTTCTCTCTTAACTCTCTGCCGTAGCCTTTTGTGAAATCCACAAAGCAAGACATTAGGCTCTATCTGTTATTGTGATACGAAAGGTAAGTGGGTTGTTGCATTGTGTTCCACTGCAGCAACTTTCTCATTACACGTTTTAGAGACACTTTAAAATCCTTTGTGAATATAAATTGTTTTCTCCCCTCTCTTTTAAGTTCTTTCTTAGAATAAAACCCCGGGCAGATATCAGTACTTCCCAGACACAGAGCCAGCTCTGTTTTCCACTCCCAGCTGGCTATAGATTATAGTAGTTCTGTTCTGTTTGCACTTCTGCCCTGAGACTGACTTCAATACAGTCCAACTTGTGAAACACAGGAGGAAAACTCAATACTGAATTTAACACATTGTCTTAGTTGTGCTTTTAATGTCCACCGAGACTATATATTTTCAGTACTTACTAGGAAAATTATAAGATGTATAAATTTTGATTGTATATAGTTTCTCAGAAGCTTGAAATTATCCAAACAGTGCCAAAGAAATTTTCAGGAGATTCGAGAGTGAGGCATATTCCAACCCTGAGATAGATGGGTGTATTCTATTTCATCGTTTAAATTCTTCATGCACTTTCATCTAGGACTAGCAACGGTTCTGTCATTAAATTTTATTTATTTATTATTAGCACACACAGTGAAGGTCTGAGGACAACGCTGTGCATTCTGTTCTCTTGTTTCATTTTCACATGAGTTCTGGATATCAAATTCAAGTCATCTGACCTTATGTAGGATGGGCTTTATACACAGAGCCATTTTGCTGGCTCGGAGGATTTTTTTTTTTTTTTTTTTTTTTTTTTTTTTGCGTAGCTTTATTGAGAACAATAACTGGTTAAGTGCTTTATTTAAACTATCTTTTTTTTTTCCTGTAAGACGCCCCTATTTTAAAATACTGACTGGTAACTTTTTTGGTCTAAGACAGAAATCCTCAACCTTCCTAATGCTGTGACTCTTTAATACACTTCCTCATGTTGTGGTGACCCGCAACCATAAAAATCATTTCATTGCTACTTCGTAATTCCAATTTTGCTACTGTTATAAATCATACAGTGTGTATCTGATATGTAGGACATCCGCTATGCCACATGGATGCACTCCAGATGTGCAGTCTGCAGGCACATGAACAAGACCATTGATGCACATGACTCCTGACTGGATGGTAAAGTCCTTAGAATGTACCACAACTGGGTTTTCATGTCATTTAAACAAACACACACACACACACACACACACACACAATGCTGGTTTCCCTTGAATAAAGCAGCACTACTGTGATAATCTTATATAGTTTCCATTTATTTCGGAATTAAAAAAACAATGATCTAATGCCTTTTTCCATCTCAGTACTCAGGAAGCTGAGGCAGCAGAACTGCAAGGTTCAGGACAGCCTGAGCTACATAGCAAGGCCTTGTCTCAAAAATAGGTATGTCAAGTCAATTATCCCTCATTTCCATTTTGCAAAAGCATATTATTGGTAGCAAAACAGCCTTATATTACCCCTACTCAGGGCAGACCCTATCTGAATTCAATTTATCAATCACATGAAAGTTCATCATTTCATTTAGCCTAGGAATTCAATAGTTTATTATTATATTTTTTCTTTTTTGATTAAGTCAATAAATGAGAGCAGAAATTATTCTGTTTTGGTGTAGATGGTACAAAAATGGCAATTATTTTAGTCTCCAAATTTAGCTTGCATTTTATTCTTTGAAATCACATTATTATATTCACCTGAGAAAATATCTTTGGCATGAAATGGCTCATTATAAGATTTTGTTTGTTACCTGACTACCTCTAAACTTAAAATGACTTAAGAATTTTCAAGCATGAATAAGAGTTCTGTAACATGTAAACATCTTGTTGACTTTTAGAAAATGATAATTTAGTGAAGGTGTAGGAAAAATTTTCCTAAATACTAATTATAAACTCTGAAACATCAGTGTGATGAGATTAGCTACAGTCATGTCAGACGGCTCTATAGTTAGAGGAAATCCATAAACAAGAGTGACATGAGAGTCCAAAGAGACACTGAAAACATCTTTATTTTATTCACTCATAAGAAAATTTCAATTGCAAGTTAGTTCTGAAGTAAATACATCTTTTCTTTCTCTTTTTTCTTTTCTTTTGTTTACAATTTATTCATTATACTGAAGCTCCCTCCTTCACCTCCCCCCAGTCCTACCCTCTCTCCCTTTTTCCTCCTATCCCCTTCCCCTAGTCCACTGAAAGGGGAGTTTTCCTCCTCTGCCATCTGCCACTAGCTTATCAAGTCTCATCAGGACTGCCCGGATCCATTTCCTCTGTGGCCTGGGAAGACCGAATTGCCAGGGGCAAGTGCAATCAAAGAGCAGGATATCAAGTTCATGACAGAGGCAGTCCCTGCTCCCCTTTCTCGGGAAGCCACATGGAGACTGAGCTGCGATTGGCTACATGTGAGCAGGAGCTCTAGGTGCATGCATGGTCCTTGGTTGGTGTATCAGTCTCTGCAGGGCCCCCTGGGCTCATGATTTTTAGCCTTGTTGGATTCAAATATGAAACAACTATTCTCAGATAATTGTAATAGTTTTTTGTGGTTATGGAAACCAAACTCAAGATTTCACATATGAAAGGCAAACACTCCACCACAGAGCTTCATTACTAGCCCTGGAAAAATATTTTTAAGTTATTTTATAATATTTTTCTTTCTCATATCCATGTCTATGTCTGTGTTTGTGTCTGTGTCTATGTGTCTGTGAGTGTGTCTATGTGTATATGTCTGTGTCCATGTCTATATGTGTCTTTCTGTGTGTATATGTCTATGTCTATATGTGGATGTGTGTCTGAGTGTCCATGTCTGTGTGTGTGTATGTATGTGTCTGTGTCTCTGTGTGTGTATCAAGGAGTGTCTCATGTGTGTCACAGTGTATTTGCAATGCTAAAACACAGGAAATATCAAATTTACAATGATTGTAAATTCATGTATTCATGTATTAAAAACTACTAGCCTTCCCAGTACTGCACTGGTGAAACACAGTCCAACATATGAGAAACAGTAACATACAAACATTCCAAAGACATCTAATAGGTTTAAAATGATGCAATAAAATAATTTGAAATGTGTGAAATAGGTTGAAGATATATGAAACATGTATAACTATGATAAACCACTATACATAGTCGCAAAATTCATAAGAAATTTTTAAAATAGAAAACAGGAAAATAAGGTTTTCTTTTTCTTTCTTTCTTTTTTTTTAAACAGGGTCTCACTGTGTAATCCTTGCTGTCCTGGGACTCACTATGTAGACTGGACTGGCCTCAACCTCAGAAATCCCAGCTATCTCTGCCTCTGATTGCCGGAGTTAAAGGTATGTGCCACCACACCCAGCAAGAACAAAATTTCAAATGCAGTTTTCAGGTGAGCCCAGAGGTTGGGGAGCTGAGAGCTTCCGCCTCCACATAAGATACATGTTAGTTAAGAGCAATAATGTCCTCGCTGTTCTACGAATAACTATTATTGTTACAAGTAAAGGGCACGGATCCCACTAGCAACCCAATACGAATAACACAGGTGTTCCTGGTCATGGTATGACATGTCCATACAGAATAAGATCAGTAATTAAAAGTCACCAACATATATATATATATATATATGAATATATGTGTTCTTATATATTTAATTAATATAGCATCCTTATATGTTTAATATTATATCACAGTGGACGCCATTTTTACAAACAGAACATCAACATGTTGGCAGGTTACACATTCCGCTTAGAACTGTTGGAATTTACACAACATGTAATGCCCGCTCACAAGCTTATCTCTTCATTCCAGTCAAGCTAGAGGAAAACTGGAAAATGACTCTCACGTAAGGATTATGGCTCAAACTTGAGCAGAAGCCCTTGGCAATCATTGGTCTGCTGCTCTTTGGCAACTTGAGTTCGGAAGGAGACGATGGAGCTCCTGCAGACAGAGAAGAAAGCCCTGAGGCTTCTTCACCTAAACAGATCTTCCCTGGAAAGAGACAGATGCTAGAGATGCTGAGGAGAGAGCCCCACTCACCAGGACTCGGTGAGGTGCTGCTCTGCATGTTGTGAGAGACACTGGAAATCCGAATGACCTTGTGTGACACTCATTTGCACAAAAGCAAACTGTCTGCCTTTTTAAGAACACAGGATCTCTATAAGTGCGAAGGTCTGGAACACAGTTTCTGTTTCCCTACTTCTGTGTCTTCATGAAATCGTCAGCCTCCTTTAGGAATATCTGATAAAATTTAGTATCGCTTTTGAGAATGTACTAGATAAAGGTAGTTAGTGTGGAAAGAAATCTACATGGAGCAGCGGTCCTTCCCATCAGGAAAGAAATCACCACAGTGCGAGGCGTTGTACTGAGGCGTGGAACATCCGTGATCATTGCATTGCTACAGGACAGCAGCGCCTCACACATGGAATAGAGAAATTCAGCCGTGTGGGTTCCCTTCATGGTAAAGTGTGATGGCAGGGATTTTGCCTTCTTTTCATATGGAGCTGCTTTAAGTACAACTATATACAGGAATGTGCAAAGATCAAGGGTCAGGTCATGGCAGCATTCACAAATTTATAAGAATGAAAGACTCTTTTAACTGAGAAATGCCAAACGGCAGGAAACTGAAATCACACAGCAATGCTTCCTTATGCCATGATTAAGATAAGTGTGGGGTAAACACATTCTGAGGAAGCAGACTATTCTATATGTTTGTGGACAATGAACAGTTAAGGCAAACAGGCTAGGGAGTGGAAGTGTGTGTGTGTGTGTGTGTGTGTGTGTGTGTGTGTGTGTGTGTGATACACACTCATGTATGGGTTCACTGGCGGGCCAGATGAGTGTGGTCAGTCTCTGTCTTATTTCTTTGAGGCAGAGCCTCTCCCTGAAACATGTTCTTGCATTTGGGGGGCTAGGCTGACAGGCAGGGGGCCCTAGGAATCCTCCTGTCCCTGCCCCTCACAGAGCTACACATGAGGACCACATCTAGTTTTTAAGTAGATTCTGAGACCCAAAGTCAAGCTTGTGCATCAAGTCCTCAGACCTTCTGATCCATAACTTCAGCTTCAAGTTATAGGGGAAGAAAAAGTATCCCACTAAATTGAAATATTCTGTCATTTGGTTGGAAAAAAAATCTTTGTCAGACCAAGCATAGTGGCCATGCCTTTAATCCGAGCTTTCTGGAGGCAGAGGCAGGCGGACCTCTGTGAGTCTGAGGCCATCCTGATCTACAGAGGTAGTCCAGGGCAGCCTATCTTCAAAAATATAAAAATAAAAAGCAAGCGTCCTCGTGTCTTCTAGGTTTGAACAGAACCATGGAGACTCCCAGTAACGCCTCAGGGGTGGACTTCATTCTTCTAGGGCTCTTCAGCTACACACAAGCCCACCTGTTCCTGTTTTCTGCGGTGTTAGTAATCTTCACCACCTCCCTGATGGGCAACACCCTCATGATCCTTCTCATCTGCAGGGACCCCAGGCTCCACACGCCCATGTACTTCCTTCTCAGCCAGCTCTCCCTCATGGACATGATGCTGGTCTCCACCATCATCCCCAAGATGGCAGCCAACTACCTGATGAGCAGGAGATCCATCTCCCCTGCAGGCTGTGGCTCCCAGATCTTCTTGTTCCTCACCTTGGCAGGGGGCGAGTGCTTCCTCCTGGCAGCCATGTCCTATGACCGCTATGTGGCCATATGTTATCCCCTGCGCTACCACGTCCTCATGAGCCCCAAGCTGTGTGCGTACCTGACCTTGGGTTCCTGGCTCCTGGGAGCCGCTGATGGGCTGATGCAGGCGGGCACCATCCTGAGTTTCCCCTTCTGCCGCTCTCGCACAATCAACCACTTCTTCTGCGAGGCACCTTCCGTGGTGCGCCTCGCCTGCGCCGACACCAAAGCCTTTGAGTTTTTCATGTACATCTGCTGCGTCCTGATGCTCCTGATCCCGCTGTCCCTCGTCCTGGCTTCCTACTCGCTCATCCTGGCCGCGGTGCTCCGCATGCGATCCTCCGCAGCCCGGAAGAAAGCCTTTGCCACCTGCTCTTCACATCTGGCTGTGGTGGGGCTGTTCTACGGGGCCATCATTTTCATCTACATGAAGCCCAAGTCCCACCAGCCGGGGGTGGGCGACAAAGTGGTGTCTGCCTTCTACACCATCCTCACGCCGGTGCTGAACCCCCTCATATACAGTGTGAGGAATCAGGAGGTCAAAGCGGCCTTGAGGAAGTGGCTGCAGCAGACGCTGTGATAAACGTCCTGAGGGAAATTTGCCAAACCAGCTCCACTCGAGTTAGGCACTCCTCACTCAAAAACTCAGCTTCTCAGTTCCGCTGAACTCACTCTTCTGTGTTGTGTTAAGTTCTGTGATGCTCCTTTGCCATTTTATAGTCTGTTTTTTACAAAAGCATTTGGAAAATCACTTTTAAATTTAACTTGTTCTGCTGGGGTCCCTTGTGCTAGCTTCCATGTTTTAGAGATGAGAGCCAGTGACGCAGGTCTGGTTAGCTAGATTTTAATTGTGTTACTCAGTTTTTGTTTTATGATGTACACTGTCAAGAGAAGAGGAATAAATGGATAACAATTTTTCAAAAAGTAGTGTCTAATTTATTGTTATTATGAAGTAAATTATTAAATAAAATACACACCCAATAAGAATTGTTGCACATAAGACATTTGCATAAAGCATATGTCAAAATGTTTTGGAGACCAAGACTATTTGCAATTTTAAAAATACTTACAAAGGAGATGAGCAGAAAGGACTTACAGCTTAAAATTTACAGCTATATTTAACACCTTTAACAAGAAAACAAATATGACTAACTACAAAATGATGTAAGCATAATGAAAATTTCAAACTTCCATGTTAGAAGTGTTTAAAGGTGAGATCTTTAAGAAGTGGGTAGGCCTCAGAGCTCCACTCTGGTGACGGAAGGGCATTCATGACATTATGAAAGTGTAAGTTGGCTCAAAGCATGCTGACAAACACCTGTGACCAAGCCCTTGGAAAACCGATGCAGGAAAATCCTAAGTCTGAGGGCAGCCTAGATTACGTAAGGCCCCGTCGCAAATAATAAGATGAAATAATAATGATTGTGCCCTTTCCCTTATAAACAAAACAAAACACACAGCTCGCTGAAAGGAGTAAGAGAAAGTTTATTCTGGCCCATGGCCCCTCCAGATTTAGGTTTACACCAAATGCCATGTTCCATCATGATGCCAGTCTCATGAGGTTTTTACAATAACAGAATAAAGAACATTTAGCGACCAAGACACTTTTCAAACACATTTAGGGGAGACGGCAAGTAGGCAGGTTACAGCGTAACTGGAATATCTCAGGTTCAGGCTCGTGCGCCATCTGACAGCATTCTTGGCCCTTTGGCTGTTGGAAGCTAGTGTTCTGCTTATCTCTGAGAATTTGCTTAACAGTCACTGGTAAGTTAGGTCATATATAGATGAAGACTAAAGATTGCTGAAGGTAATTTGGTTCTGGACTTGCAACATTCTAATCCCTCCACAGTCACTGAACTGTCAAACAGCTCATCTCGAAGGTTCAGTATATTCCAAGAACTTTCATTGCCAGCTTCCTCTTGTCTTTTCTTGTCCTTCCACCTTCCACCATCTGGTGATACAGAAGCAGGCCCCTGATAGGTGTGGGACCCTTGAATTTAGACTTCCCTGTTGTACAACACTGAAGAATCAATACCATTCCTTATTTGGTACCCAGGATACGGTATCCTGCCATGGCTTTGCAGAAGGAGGGAGATACCAATTACAGGTGAATTAATGGACAGAAGAGGGACAAAAGGATAGGAAGGAAAATAGACAATCTAGGCACCCCCACAGGGGCAAACATCACAATCCATTACCTTGTTGGCTGCTTTGAGCCAACTGTCAGCTTTACAGCTTGTCATATGAAAGACAGACAAGTTTGTTTGTTTGTTTGTTTGTTTGTTTTAAGGGAGGGTCTACAATTTGTATATATGTTTGCTTTGTGCCAGTTTTTCTACCAAGGGACTTGCAGCATTTAACAAAACAAAGTCCCACTGGGTGAGCCACATCCTTGGATCTCATGAGAGGAATTGGCAGCAGAATCTGAGCTGACATGGGGCAGATCTAATCCTTTTTACACATCCTTCCTGCCCCCAGTGTGGGAAACCTTCCTCTCCTGCATCTTTAACATCTGAATACTGAATTCAGGGCCTTCCATGCTCTTAGTGGTGTGTAAACCAAACCGCTTCCAACCTTTCTCTGGCGCTGGTGCTGGCAGGAATCCCTCTATTTTGGTGGACTGTTGGCTTTTGTTACCTGCCTTCTGTGTGCCCTAATAAAGCACCCACCTCCATGTCCTACGGAAGTGGCTTGTAAGCAGTATCAAGTTTTCTCCCATGCTGCATGTCTTTGCCTTCAGAACTTAAAGTCCTGCTCCAGAGCTGTCTAGGATTCTGGAATCCAGCAGTTCTTATCTGAGTCCCTCTCAAGGTATTTTTCTTGTTAAGGAAAACTGTGAAGACTAAGGTTATGGTCCATTCCCGGGAGCAAATCACGGCCAGTGTCCACACAGTGAGCCTAACACAGAAGAGTGTGGCCACTGCAAGACTCTCAGGGCCTATCCCGTAGCCCAAAATTCTCTCAGGAGTTTGGAAGGTTTAGCCTGGGGCATCACTGTTCCTTTTTCACACTTTGCTTAATTCTGCTTAATTCTTCTTTAGGTGTTGACCATGACAGGTCTTTCAGTCAACTCCCTGGTTGCCCGTCCCTGCCTGTGCATTCTCCAGAAATCCCAGCAGCGCCTTAGTCATGTGGTCCTTAGGGGTCCTCGGCCAGATACCCACCTGGGGTGCACTTTCAGCTCCCCAGAGCTTCTGAGCCCTGTTCTTTCTCTTGCTGGACTCAAAGTGTCTAGTCATTCTTGAACCCCATAGACTCTCTCAGGGATTGATTCAGTCATGCAACAGTGTCAGCACTTGACAGGGTGACATCATTTGATGGCCCCTAATTCCCCCAGCACAGCAGTGGCCAGAAATGAACAGGACATAAGATTTGTTAGGGACAAAGGCTTTACACCCCGTCCTGTGGAAAACTTCTACACTGAATGTCCATGGTACCCCACTTTACTTACGTGGAGCCTGGAGG